AACCTAAATTATTATTTTGAATACCTTTCTAATATAATTGTTCTGATATTTGGATATCTTTATTTGATATTTAAAAATAATTCAATTAAATTAATTTTAAGTCTTAATATAAAGATTTTAATGAATCTTGAAAATGATTTGAAGATTCAGCCATTTATGTTTGAATTTTGGGTGCAATTGATTCAAATAGGATAGTTTCTGCAAAAAAAGAATTCATTTAATTAGAATTTAATTTTAGGAATTATTCTTTGGATCTTTGATATTTATTTCTGATTCCTGTAATTAATTAATTAAATGTTTGTTAAATAGAATCCATAAATTATTACAACCTAATAATAAAATGATCACATTCTTAATCAACTTTTTCAATATGTTCAAATAAATTTGGTAATTCATATTGATGTTAAGGATGTGAAAAATGTATTCCATTTCTACTGCATTACATACAATATAATCTATTTTCTTTACATTATTCATCAAAACAAACTAATTTTACATTGTTCTAATCATTTTAACATTTTATCACTATATTCTCAATCATTTTTTTATCTTATTTCTATTTCTATTAAAATTTATATTACCTAATAATATTAAAATTTATAAATATCAATAATTATCTTCAATTATTGATTATGTTGTCTATATATATATTGCAATTGATATTATGGATGCTTTAAGTGAACTCAATTGATAATTATTCTAATTGCTAAAATATCTGAAATCTAAGTTGATTTTAATAAATTTTTTAATAAGCCTAATAAAATACATGAGTTAGAATAAAATTTACATTAGAGGAATACATTACAATGAATATTAGAATAGATAATATTTAAGATATTGATGAGCTTTTAAGAAACAAAACATAAATTTAAGAGAAATTTTTAGAAATTAAAAATAAAATAAAGTAGAATACAAATGGCAACTATTATAAATTGATAAATATTCAGATAATTGAACCCAAAGTACTCAAACCAATAATAGAAGAAATAAATGAAATTTGAAGGTATCGATATTAATTGAATTAAAAGTATGTAGAATGATGTCAGTAGTTAACTTAATAAAACTGGTTTAATTGAGCTACTATTCAATCTTGTGTTTGAGATGGTTTTAATTGTTATAAAAAAAGAAAGCCATATTTAATTTCCTATCTTGATAAATTTTGGTTGACATAAACTTATATAAGATTTTAATAGACATACTTATTATTAATAATATTCAAAATAGTCAATTTGTTAGAAATGAGATATTTTCTCAAAAATTTTGAGTTTCAAGAGAGTATTTATTATGCTGTATTAGATGACTAAAAGTAAAAATAATAAAGGAAGGTAACAGGTTGAATCTACTTTTTTTTTTTTACTAACTGAGACCATATGCTGAACTTCTAAGAGTAATTCCTTTAGGTTAATTTTTTTTATTTTATAGATCCTTTTAAAACATATGGATACATTAGATAATAACTAATTAGGTTAGAATTTGAGAGATGATAGAACTATATATCCTAAATAAAGGAGAGAAAATAGGCATGGTAAATAAATCAAAAAATAATTTGATAAGCTCAATTCTGGATGAATATTACAAGTAGAAGAGAGGTACTGATGATGGTTGACTTTGATAAAGTAAGAAGTAGAATTTCAAGAGAAAGTAAATTAAGTGAACAATTATTATATTTTTGAAGATTAGATCTAGAAATTACAATTTAACATATTAAATAGCATATCTTTCGAAAAAGCTAGAAGGAACTGATGAGAAGTTTTTAGATTAAGTGATTGATTAAGCCTTATTTAGATATGATGATCGACCATGCCATGTCTTAATTGCCATATACGGGCAATTGCACAAACCCCCCTTTTCTTAAATTTTTTGTGTAATCAGAACCACTCCAAGAATCTATCAGGGATTATTTATCAAGATATTAGAATCTTATATAAATTAGACCAAAATTTTGGATTCTCAACAATCTTCTAACTTCTTTACCCACAAATAAGCACATAAATTCAATCTTAAATTAAATAATAATTTTTGTTATTATAATCTTAAGTTAATATATCCTTAATTTAGACAGAAAAAAAAAAAGTTAATAAATATCTCACCTCGTTACTAGTTTACCAATATCGTCTTTGGTGGAGAGAAATACAGTTGAGTCTCATTGATTTTATGGGTCGATAGTTACTTTGTTTTGTACTGAAGGATGTGGGGTTTGGGGTTGGGGGTGGGGTTTGGGTTTGGGTTTGGGGTTGGGGTTGGGTTGGGGTTGGGGTTGGGT